GACCACGGTGTGGGCAGGCAGGAGCCAGGCAGGGGCTGCTGTGACCAGAGGCAGGGCCCCGAGGGGCTGGGGGAGTCTGTGTTGAGCATCCCTGGGCTGAGGGCACATTTCCTTCAGTGGCATCACCTGGGCCTGGACCTCCTCCAGTGCCATGCCCAGGAAAAGAGGCAACCATCAAGAGCATCTCCTGGGACACCGTCTGACCAGCAATGTCAGCAGGCAAAACCAAGGTTTTGTTTAGCAATGACCCTTTGATGAAGTCAAAGATTCACAGTCAGAGCAGTCCTCTAGTACAGATGGGAGTACACTTGGGGCAGACATCTAAGGCCATGAGGTCACAGAAGGCTCTGGGGTGACAGCAGGCTGAGGTGACAGCAGGCTCTGAGGTCACAGAGGTCCCAGAGCCCCGTGGTTGCCCAGCACCACAAGGACCGAGCAGTCAGTCCTTGACCACGACTGTTGTGGCAGCAGCGGCGGCGGCAGCAGCGGTGCTGACATTGGGACAGCGGTGTCAGGACAGTGGTGGCAGCAAGAGCTGCAGGACTGGCAGTGGGCAAGGCACCATGGCCTTTGCTCTGCGCCTCCTCCTCCTGCTCCTCCTGGCAGTGGCCCTGCCTGACAGGGCTGCCCAGGCTGCTCCGTGGCGAGCAGGGCGAGCAGGTGAGCCGGCAGCCTCGGTCCCCCTTCCTGGGACAGTGCTCCCTTCTCCCTGGGAAGCATTGGGGATGGTTTTCCCCAGGGCTTTAGGGAGGGTTTTCTCTATGGGAGGGAGAGAGGCCTCAGGGGCCCTGGGCTTGTCCCACTGCCCCTCCAGGGATGTTGCACAGGGCCTGCAAAGAGGGTGGAGAGTGACCAGAGCCAGCCCAGAGCTCCCCAGACCTCTCTGCAGCTTTGGCCATGTCCACTGACATTTGGCTCCCATGGCCTTCCCCGACCCCTTTGCAGTGCCCAGTTCCCTAAGGCAGAATGGGTTCCCAGCACACCATGGAATGGTTCTGATCTGTGATTCCTTCCAGATGAGGATGGTAGGAAGGCTTCTCCAGCAACTTGGCTTCATGAAGATTTTCTGCCTCTGGAGCCCCATGCAGGTATGTTCTCACTGTCCCAACAAGGAATAATCATTGACAACGTGGCAGGAAGCAGGTGACAGAAGCTGCTGTGGCTGTTGAGTTACAGGTGTGTCTGCAGTGAGGACATTTCAAGCTCCTTTTCTGGTTGCTGCACGCAAGCCCAGCTCCCATCACAGGGGTGAGTGGTGTGTCCCTGCTGATCCCACAGGCTGAGCCCTGGTTCTGTGGGACCCGTTCATCTGAAATGGAAATACTTTCTGTTAAGGTCCTCCTATAGGGAGGAACAAACCTACAGGAGACAAGAGGCTGAGTGATCTGGAGAGACGCCGTAGTGGGTCCCTGTCCCTCAGCCTCCTCCTGAGACTCAGCAGCCGGGGGCTTTCTCTGCACATCTGGACACGCTGTGCCCGGCACAGCAGGAAGGGATCCATGGCAGCCTTGCTGCCCCTCTGCTGCTTTCACAGCCTGCAGGGCTGTTTCTCAGCCTGGCCTGGCTGCAGCTTCTCCCCAGCCTCTGCAGGAAGGCATTTGGCATCAGCTGTCAGGGAGCCCAAACTGCAGCATGGGCCATGAACACCCTGAAATCCCCTGCAATTTCCCAGTCTTGTGGTAGATGTGGCTGGCCTGGCTCCAAAGTTTGGATGCCTTCCTGAAACTTATCCATATCTTTGACAACTATTGCCTCCTGAAGATGCCACCTTCATGTTGGGGAACAAACAGCCTCACCTGATGCATGTATCCCTCTTCCTTTCTCCAGAGACGGAAGGAGAGGCTGTGCTGAAGGCAGCATTTCCCGGAGGAAGCAGTGGCCCATGGGCAGCCTCTGCTGCAGGAAGGGAGGCCATGCCAGGCACAGTCACAGTCCCAGGAGGTGATTGCTGTGCCCCAGGGCCTGAGCCCTGCTGAGGCTTGAGCTGCCATCTCTGCTGCTTGGCAGTGCAGGCACAGCCCGGACAAAACCAGCACAGCCCAGTGGAATTATCCGCAGCAGGCTGAGGGCACTTGGCTACTGAGCAGTCCTGCTGGGGTCCCTCCATGGGAGACAGGTCCCAAAACCTGGCAGCAGCTGCAAAGGGGTGCCCATGGTGGGGAATAGGCAGAGGGGGAGGGCAAGGCTCCACTGTATCCTGAAAGAGCCTGGCCCAGTCCCTATGGGATGGGAGAGCT